GTAGCGATACGGATGCGGTAGGTAAAGTCAATAAACAGTTACAGTTTTGGTTGTATTGTAGTGCATTGACCAACTATTTAGTCCAATCTAAAACATATTAAAACTTGTATCTGTCAAATTTTGATTAAAATAATTTGATATGTTCCAGGACGAAAATATAGTAGTAGACTTGGTAAACGGAGAAACGTTTCTGATTGATTTTGGAGCTGCAACACCGCTTAAGAAAAGTTACTACACTGATTTCCAAGGTTATAAAATCTATTTGTCTTGTGCAGTACTTACAGAAGGAAACAAGTATTGCGTTATTCATATTATATTTCTGTATTGCATTTCTGCTGATTTTTGTATTGCTGACAACAAGAAATTTAATTGAGTCGTTTTATTATATGTAATCATTTTGTGTTTACACCTGATCAAGAAACTGCGTAGAGTTCAAATTCGTGAACTGTTCTCTAATATGCATTATTGTTCAGGAACTCGTTTATATTGTCCACCTGAATGGTTTTTACATTCAATGTATTTGGGCCAAGAAGCAACAGTTTGGTCGTTGGGTGTTTTACTGTATAATATGCTCAATGGAAAGTTACCATTTCGTGACGAAAAAGAGATCTGTACATCGCATTTACTAGGACCTTTGCCTTTTTGTACAAAAGTCAGCAAAAGTAAGTTTGAAAATAATTTTATACAAGTAAGTAATGATTGATAAATAATGATTGTGCTTTTCTGTGACAGTATTTAATTTGAAAATACTTGAAAAATGATAAAGATTTTTAAATGAAGGTGCTATGGATCTGATCAGTAAATGTTTACGATTCGAACCAAGCCAGCGATGTACATTAAAAGCACTGCTCAATCATCCATGGATGCATATTCCTTGTATTGAATGGAGTATTTTAACAGCCAATACTTATCAGCATACATCGGATGATCTGCATTTTGATGCTAGCAATAAGGTTACTAATCATGCCATGAATCATGTTGTGGGAATGAAGCCGGAACCGAGGTAAGGCTTCTTTTGACTTGAGTTCAGGTTATGATGAATAGCATCTAAGTCTATTATTTTTTTGCTAAGCAAGATAAACATCCTTGTTTCTCAGAAATCACTAAAAATCTATATATTCACACATTTCTTGAAGCGCTGGTGTCTAAATTATACAGTGTAGAATAATATTTCAGTTATGCGGAATCTGGCGTGGGAAGTGCATCTACTTGCACGCCATCCACGTCATCATCATATATAGTGCGTCATCGTCATCCAGACGTGATGGTAACCATGGGACAGGTACCATTTTCTCCTCGAAGTAGTCAAATCCATCAATATCGAAATCGAAGTCGACCCCACCACTGGAAAACTCGTTTGATCAGTAATTCATTTTTATCTCTAAATGCTCGAGAATTATTGCAAAAGGCTCGATTAATGGAAAACAAAAATATTCCGTCTACTCGAATGGGCAAACTACGATCTGCAAGTCATCACGATTTGCAAAATTGTCCCATATCCATCCCACACTCGACCTATTTAAGCGTTAAGCAAGATAAGAAAGTGGATTGCCTTGCAACCCCAATTAAATACACAAAGCATATATCAAGTTCACAACAGAAATCAGGGCTGTTCTCACGCAGCGCACTGCTTTCGAAAACCAATAGACGTGAGAGTTTTTACGGAAGAATAGATAGAATACCGGTCTTTTGATGCGTATTTAATATTGTTTCTTTCAGATTTTGCTCTATTATTAAACGAATAAATGACTTCAAAAACCTGCGGAGGAATTTGTGCAGCCTTGAAACGCTTTTGAAGAAAAGTAACTTGAAAAAATTGAAAATGCAGTTTTCTCAAGTTACTTTTCTTCAAAAAATAACAAGGTGACAGTGCGAATGCCGGAGAAATTTACACTGTCATATTGTTTTGATATAATAAGTCCGTAGAATGCAAAAAAAATAGCTGTCAGTAATTAGGTACTTATTATTATATCATATGAAAAATAGCATACCTTTTGCATTAATTTGTAAGAAATTTATGCAACCAAAAAAATTACTTCTTCGCCGCACCTCACCGAGGTACCATATAGCAAGAAGTTAAGTCTTGATAGCAATAATACTTGCAACCAATCCAACGCTTACTATAGCAAGCGTTCATATCTTGTTCTAGCAAGCTTATCATGATTCATTCATGCACAACTTTCTTCTATAAAGTACTTCTTGAAATAATTTATTTTTCTTCATTTACTATTATTTATAATGCAGTACACAAAGACAATTAGCTTATTCAATTTTATTATAAAATTTTAGGCACAATCTTAGCAAATTATTGAATTAAGAAAACCAAAAAAATTGGCAAGATGTTTGAAATCAATGGGCAAAAAATAAGAGATATGATTGCACTTGAACTTCGAAAATGATATTAAAGATTATTTGAAAAAAGCACCAACATGACAAATCCTAATTTTGTAATATAAATAAATAATGAGAAAAACTTATGCTCACTTGCCTT